TTAGTTTCATTGATTTTTTTGGTGTTTTTTTTTTTAAATCTTTTTGTCATTTATTTCTACTCTAATTTTTATTATTTCCTTCCTTCTACTTACTCTGGGTTCTTGTTGTTCTCTTTCTAATTATTTAAGTTGTAGGGTTAACTAGTTTATTATTAATTTTTCATGTTTTTTGAAGTAGGCCTATAGTGCTATGAACTTCTCTCTCAGGACAGCTTTTGCTGTGTTCCAGAGATTTTGGATTGTTGTGTGTTCATTTTCATTTGTTTTCAGAAAGTTTTTTTATTTCTTCCTTGATCTCATTGGTAACCCGTTCATTATTTAGTAACATGTTATTTAACCTCCATTTGCTTGGATGTTTTGAGTTTTTGTTTTGCTTTGTTTTGTTCTTTAATTGATTTTCAATTTCATTTCATTATGATCTAAGAAGATGCTTTATATGATTTCAGTCTTCTTAAACTTGTAGAGATTTGTTTTGTCTCCTAACATATGGTCTATCTTTGTGAATGATCCGTGTGTACTTGAGAAGAATGTATATTCTGCAGCTTTTTTTACATTTTGATACCATGTATGCTTGTATGTACATATGTTTATCTGTATGGTGACAAAACTATGTAATTGTGCTATAGAAGGGAACAGAGAAATGGAGACCATAGTTAGGTGGAGAGAAATGAAAGGCAAAGGAAACATTTAAAATTCACTGATATTACAGTTCTTTGTATGATGATGGGAATGACTGAATGGAGAGAATAGCAATTGATGATGGAGCAATGTCCTTAGGTGGGCAAGAGGGGATAGATTCAGGTGCTCAAGTAGAAGAGTTGGTCTTAGAGAGAAGCACAAATATTTTATCCATAGTAACAGAAGGGAAGGCGGAGTATATGGGTACACTTACAGGTGAGTCAGTAGTTATTTAGTAAGGAAATTGTGGAAATTCTCTTCTAATTTTCTATGAAATACGAAGCAAGATTATCAACTGAGAATGGCTGTGGGGGAGAAGAGTTAGAAAGGGTAGGAGAAAGGAGATGTGAAATAAAATACTCAATGAATGTGAACTCATATTATTTACCTTAAATACATGCAATTTTATTTGTCAATTCTACACCAATAAAGCTGGAAGAAAAAAATGAGCCCCAAAGCAGGGTAATTTTAATGAAGACCCATGATATGATTTGATGGTAATGAGAGAAGAGTTCTGGTCAGGTGAAGTGACAGGATTACCAAGAGAGACATTTGAAGGGAAGTGACATTTACTCCAAGTAAAGCTCTTACTGGTGATGGAGTCTGGGCAAAGGGTGAAGTTGGGGAAAACCAATGATAACTCCAATTGGCTTTTAGTCCAGGTGAGACCCTACCTTTCCTTAATTTACACATAACTCAAATGCTCTTTCTTCCACAAAGCTATATCTGACAGTTAAAATTAATCATGATCACACAAATACTATAGGCATTCTTTTTAAAAAATATATTTTATTGATTTTTTTTACAGAGAAGAAGGGAAAGGATCAGAGAGTTAGAAACATGGATGAGAGAGAAATATCAACCAGCTGCCTCCTACATCCCCCCACCCCCACTGTGGATGTGCCCTCATCCAAGGTACATGCCCTTGACTGGAATAGAACCTGGGACCTCTGAGTCCGCAGACCAATGTTCTATCTACTGAGCCAAACTGGTTAGGGCTAGGCATTCTTAATACATACCGCCATATTGTGGCTTCTTCAATACATGTCTTTATCCCTCACAGACATGATATCCTTGAAAATGTCACCAGAGCAATAGTGCCTTTATATGTAGTAAGTGACAATTTTCAGATATGTGCCTCATATATTAAAAATCTGCATACTTTAATTCCTCACACAGGAACTCCTCAAGAAGAAAAAAAAAAACCCAAAAATATATATATATAAATCATAAAACCAGGAAAATTACCAATGTAATATTTAAGACTCTGGTCACACTGGCTGTTGCCATTTTCCTCAGAAAGCTTGCTTGCTCTTTCTTTCTTTCTCTTTCTTTCTTTCTTTCTTTCTTTCTTTCTTTCTTTCTTTCTTTCTTTCTTTCTTTCTTTCTTTCTTTCTTTTTTAAAATATATTTTATTGATTTTTACAGAGAGGAAGGGAGAGAGATAGAGAGCTAGAAACATTGATGAGAGAGAAACATCGACCAGCTGCCTCTTGCACACTCCCTACTGGGAATGTACCTGCAACCAATGTACATGCCCCTGCCGGAATCGAACCCGGGACCTTTCAGTCCGCAGACCGACGCTCTACCACTGAGCCAAACCGGTTTTGGCAACTCAGAAAGCTTTCTAAACATCCTATATAATAACAGAGGAATCTGCAAATTGTCCATTACTCTGTAACATCACAACCGATCACAGGAGGTTGCCTAAGCAAGTGCAGTGGGGCATTGCTCGGGAGACCTGGTGGAAACAGAGAGGTGCCTGGAGGAGGCAGGACTATTCCGTGGCAGGGAGGGTGGGGGTGAGAACCCATAGCTTCCCCCTCACCAGTCCTTTGCCACCTACCACTCACACTTAGAGCGCCCCACCACCCACCTGCCAGGGGAAGGAGCACAGCACAGCAGGTGGGAGGCCTCCAGAGCCATGACGGGGCAGAGTCACCACGTTGCTCTGGAGATGGGGTGGAAGAGGGGAGATGCCTGGAGAAGGCAGGACCAGCCCAAGGTGACTTGAGGGACTGAGGGCGGGGCTTAAAGTGGCCAGAGACGGCCAGAGGGGTCAGGGGCTGGGTCAGGCATGCTAGAGCTCTGCTTGGAGAGGTTTGAGTGTCAAGGCAAAGTGGGGCCGTGTGATTTTGTGCTCTGGGCTCCTAATCTATACTAATAAAAGGCTAATATGCTAATTAGACCAGACATCTTCCGGACAAAGCCACAGTGGTGGGGCAAAGGCAGAGGGGGCTGGGGTAAACAGGAAGGCAGGCAGAGGTAGTTAGGGGCAATCAGACAGCAGGCAGGTTAGTGGTTAGGAGCCAGCGGTTCCAGATTGGAGAAGGTACAGGCTGGGCTGAGGAACACCCCTCCTTCCCCGTGCACGAATTTTGTGCACCAGGTCTCTAGTAGTTTTACAAAACTGCATGAAATTTGTGAATGGGGGTATGTGTCCGTCAGCACAGCCTGCATCCTCTCCAACCTGGAACTCCTCGAGGGATGTCCAATTGCCTGTTTAGGCCTGATCCCAGTAGGATATCCCTAAATAGGCAGTTGGACATCCCTCTCACAATTCAGGACTGCTGGCTCCCAACTATTTGCCTGCCTGCCTTTCTAATTGTCCCTAACAGCTTCTGCCTGCCAGTCTGATCATCCCCTAACCATTCCCCTGCCAGCCTGATTGATGCCTAATTGCTCCCCTGCCAGCCTAACCGCCCTCCCCTGCAGGCGTAGTCACCCCTAACTGCCTTCCCCTTCAGGCTTGATCTCTCCCAACTGCACTCCCTTGCAGGCCTGGTCCTTCCCAACTGCCCTCCCCTTCTTGCCATCTTGTGTCCACATGGGGGCAGCCATATTGTGTGTTGGAGTGATGTTCAATTTGCATATTACTCTTTTATTAGATAGATGGTGATAAAAACAATTGTTCACTGGTTAAGGTGAGTCTTGCCCTCCCTCATAATGCATTTTGAGTCTGAGTAAATCAGTTACTGTATTTTATATTTTGTGTGATACATAAATATTGTTTAGTTAAAAATATTTGACTTGACAGTCTCCAAATGGAGATCTTTATGTTGGAACAGTACAGTTGAATCTTCTCATTTCCTCCTCCCCTATCCCCTCCATCCCCTCCTCAAAAAAAGAAAAGAATTGTCACTACATATAAAGGCACTGTTACTCTGGTGAAAATTTCAAGAATATTTTGTCTGTGTGGAGTAAAGACATGTATTCAGGAAGCCATAATATGGCAGTATGTATTAAGTATTTGTGTGATAGTGATTAATTTTAACTATCAAATGCACTTTTATGGAAGAGAGAGCATTTAAGTTAGATGTAAATTAAGATACAGTAGGCTTTCAGTTGATTTGTTGATTGCTTTATATATACTAGACACTGTACTAAGTATTGTGTCATTTAATCCTACTACGTGTGAGGAAACTTAAGGTCAGAGAGGTTAAGTAACTTGTTAAGGATCACACATAGCTAGTAAGTAGAGTTTAGACCCAGATCTAGCTAACAACAAATCCCTTTCACTAGAACACAGATTTTAGAAAGAGATAGTGGAATGGGAGAGCATATTCCAAAACAGGGAGCAATAGGAGCAAATAAAAAGTACAAAGGAAAGAAAAAGGAGAGAAAAACAGAGAGGGAGGAAGGGAAGGGAGAGAGGGAAAAAGGGAGGAAGAGAGAGACAGACAGAGAGAGAGAGAGAGAGAGAGACAGAGAGAGAGAGAGACAGAGAGACACAGAGAGAGAGACGGGGAGAGAGAGAAAGAGAGAGAGAGAGAGACAGAGAGAGAGAGAGGGAGAGGGAGAGGGAGAGGGAGAGGGAGAGGGAGAGGGAGAAGGAGAAGGAGAGGGAGAGGGAGAGGGAGAGAGAAAGAGAAAAATTCAGTGTGGCTTGGGCATTGTGTGTGTGTATAAAAGAGGGTGGAATGTGTAGTAAGAAATATAGCTGAAAATACAAGTTGTATCAAGGGACCTTGAACTAAGGAATCTGGGCATTGTTTTGTAGGAAGTCATCAATTTTGAGATGGCAAGAGAATCACATCTGCTGTGCGGACATCTACTGGCCCACATGGCATTCAGGCCCTTTGTGCTGTGTGGTTTCATATTCACAGATCCTTTTGGAAGACAGAACTATAGGAATAAGAGTGGGTTCTTAAAATTAGGAGTTGAGTGTAATTCTCAACTTCATGTGGTAGTTTCTGGAACTTGTGATCATTTTATTAAAGTAATCTGTGTCACAAAATTAGGAATGCAACTATAGAATTGTGTGATGGAATTTACTATTTTTCTAAGACCATAAGACAGAATTTTTAAACCATGCTTTTCAGATACTGACCGAGCTTTATCGTTGCTGGAAGAATACTGCCACAAATTAAGGAAGCCTGAGGAGCAGCAGCTGAAAAACGCTGTTAAAAAGGTGATGGGCATCTTTAGGAGCAGCTTATTTCAAGCTCTGCTAGGTATGTGTTAAAATTCTGTATTATCTCTTTAAAAATATATTTTTAATGATGTCAGAGAGGAAAGGAGAGGGAGTAAAAGATGGAAACATCAGTGATGAGAGAGAATCACTGATTAGCTCTCTCCTGCATGCCCCACACTGGGGATGGAGCCCTGAAACTCAGGCATGTGCCCTTGACTGGAATGCAACCTGGGACCCTTCAGACTGCAGGCTTAATACTCTAACCACTGAACCAAACCAGCTGGGGCTTAAGTGGTACATTTTAAAGAAATAACTTAGTCTCCTGGACATTATTATTACTTTTTAAAGTCTAAAAGTTATTGAAACAAAATCTAAAAATAGGATTTTGAGAATTAATCTTGAAAATATTTTATCTATGCTTCTATCATATATGTGTACACTTACAAACAAAAACTCCAACTTGTTCTGAATATAATTTTAAAAGCTATTATATTTTGAAAATTTGAGAATCAGTCTAGTGAATAAAAATGGTAGAAAAAAATCTTTATAAGATTATATTGCCTGTGGATCAAAAGTTCTTTAAAACATACTCTTGTGGCTGGTAAGAATTAATGACGCAAATAACTGTAATCATCTTAATTGGAATTAAATAAAAACAACTCTAAATGGACTCTTGCAGAATTTAAATAAATCCTGTTATTAGAGAATAGTAGTTGAGAACATTTTTAAGCCACACATTTCTCAGTTAAAAATTAATAGTTCCTTCTAATTGATCATTAACACAGGCCATTAACTGTGAATGGCAATATCTTGAAATAGACTTGTATGATATGTTTAGTTAAGACTAGCTAAGTCTTTTGAGAGTTTCAGTTTTTAAACTTGATTTAAGAAGATCAAATTGGATGTGTTAGATAATTCAATTATACTTTGACAATGCAACCATTTGGTATGGCAACTTTATTATATGGATAATAAAAGGACAAATTCATGACAAAGAATTGCATTTTGTAATTGTTTTGAGTGAGTGATAAATATCTTGGCAAAAAGCCAAGAGTGCAGTTTGAACGTATCTTAAAAAAATGAGAGACAACAATAATCTGTAAAAAGCTGTTATATAAGTAATCCTGGTGTCTAGCTTTGAATGGATAGATTTGCTTTGGCTGGTTTTTAAAAAATCCATTTTGGGATAAACTAGATTAAAAAAAATAATAAATGGAGCAACATTATACAACAAAATATAATTTTCTATTCCATTCTGTGTGGATTGTTAAGTACTGATTACAATTTTTTTGCTATTGAATGTTTGAGTGGTCTTACTGTGTATCCTCTTTAAGGACACAAAAGCAGAAAAACCTGTAGCCCTGTGAATCCCACAGGGAATTAGAGCTTTGTAAAAGGATAAGTGGGGTGCCACTGATAAATAGAGCATTGTTTATGGCCTATAACCTGCTTTCTGTTTGAACCAACTCCTGTCCCCACTCTCTTGTCGTTCTTGTTACAAGTAGGGAAAACAGTGGCTTCACCCATTGTTCTAATACTTAAATAATCAGTACAATGAAATAATAACTTGCACAAATCTTAATTAGCTGAAGAAGTAGAAGAGAATCATAATGCATAAAACCCAACACAAATGAATAATAGGAAATACTGTTATTGAAAAATGTGTTGTAACACTTAGATGGGACCAGGAAACTAAGCCTTTCTACAGATGAAGACTATCACTCTGAAAATGAATTTGGCCCTGACTGGTTTGGCTCAGTGGATAGAGCGTCTGCCTATGGACTCAGGGGTCTCAGGTTCCATTCTGGCCAAGGGCATGTACCTTGATTGTAGGCACATCCCGAGTAGGGGGTGTGCAGGAAGCAGCTGATTGATGTTTCTCTTTCATAATGTTCTCCCTCTCCTTTCCTCTCTGTAAAAAAATCAATAAAGCATATTTAAAAAAAGAAAAAAAGAAAATTAATTTTGTCTTTCTTTTGTGATCCTTCATTATAATGCTTAAAAAACCATAACAAAAGCTAATATGTCTTATGTTGTATAAATCTTTGAGGATGGAATTCTGTTTTTATAACTTTGATAGTATGGTAGTGCATAAACCCATTTTATAAATGGGTTCTCTGCTAATAGGGTAGAAGGTGATAACAAAAGTATTGCTTTTTTATTTTTAAAGTACAATTTTATCTTATTATAAAAGCAATGTATGCTTATTCTGGAAAAATTGTAAAATAAAGTAAAAGAAGAAAATGAAATCTAGTGGTGAGATACATTGCTTTATGGTAAAGAGCTGGATATATGATACATGTGCAGGATGATGAATTGTTTAATTTTCTTTCTCTTTGCTTCTAGAATTCCTGTATTTTCTTTTATTTTTTAATTTACTAATAATTAACAGTGGAAAAGACACTTTAAGCTCTTAAAAGCTAGTCATTAGTGTTTATTAATATATAAAAAAGGAAAATACCTAAAGCAGCCATGTGCTATAAGCTGTTCATTTAGATGTTAGGCTTAGGGTGCCATCTTGTGGTAAAACTAAGGAAAAAGTTTTGTCCAATGAATAATTACAGTTCTATGATGATTGCATTAATACCTTACAGAATTTGAATAGAAGTGAATTGAAATTCCATATTTTACCAATTAATTTAGTAATTATTTTGTTTAGTATTGCTAAAACATTTTGATTTTCAAGGCACTCAGGTTATTTATTTTTCATTTAGGTGCTGAAGGAGCGAGATAAAATGTATTTTTTTTTTAAATCCTTTTTAAATTTCTCTTCCAGATACTTTGAAATTTTAAATTCCATTGTAGAGTGTTTGAAGGGGATTTTTGTGGGAGATATTTGGACAGTAAAGTGATACTTTTCTTAAAACACTACTAGTAGCAACATCTTAGAAAAGTGCTATCTGGTTCTATGGAGACTAATGTTCGATTTTGTGTTGGAATAGAATACTTTTCTAGTTCCATAAAGCTTAGCATAGAACCCTGTGGATAAATGAGGTTACTAGCAATGTGGATGAGACAATAAATATACCACATATTGGGATTTATCACTTCCTTGTGGAAGCCTTCTACCATGTCCCTACTTGCTAGCAGTTTTAAGCAGCTCTTTAATTATGTCCCTCAGCATTTTGTGCATCCTATATAATAAAGATGTAATATGCAAATTCACCGTCAGTCTAATACACAAGATGGCCACCACAAGATGGCCGGCAGGGGAGGGCAGTTAGGCAATCAGGCCAGCAGGGGAGGGAAATTAGGGGTGACCAGGCCAGCAGGGGAGGGCAGTTAAGGTGCAATCTGGCCGGCAAGGGAGCAGTTAGGCGACGATCAGACTGGCAGGGGAGTTGTTAGGGGGTGATCAGCCAGACAGGCAGAAGTGGTTAGGGGCAATGAGGCAGGCAGGCAGGCATGTGGTTGGGAGCCAGCAGTCCTGAATTGTGAGAGGGATCCCAGATTGAAGAGGGTGCAGGCTGGGCTAAGGGACACACCCCTCCACCCCCCTTCCTGTGCACAAATTTTGTGCACTAGGCCTCTAGTATTACTATAAAGCACTTATTACATTGCTTTATGATAAACTGAACATATTCCTGCCCCTCAATAGACTGTGAGTAGCTTGAGAATTGAAGTTATATCTAATTTATGTTTGTACCACCAGTATGTGCACTTTAAATAACAATAGGTTGTCAATAAACTTTGTTTATTCATTTACTCAACAGTTATTTCTTTTTTATTTCTTGGTAGGTAAGCAGATGCAGGTTGAACATTTTTAATTTTTATTGTCTAAAGTTTTACATATGTCAACAGTTATTTTTTAAGAGGCCTGATATGTATTTGACATAGTAAACTATAGAGGAAAAGATAGTCCTTGCCATCAAGTGTGCGAGCAATTAAGTGGAAGGAAAGAGACATTAGATATTTGGGTACTTATTTAAATGTAATGGTGGCAAGTGCTACAAAATCAATCTCTATAAGAGTTGTATCGCATTTTAGTTAGAATAAAATAAAACCACTACATATTTTCCCAATGTAGTAATTCTAACATCATATATTTTTAAAAAATATTTTATTGATTTTTCACAGAGAGGAAGAGAGAAGGATAGAGAGTTAGAAACATCGACCAGCTGCCTCCTACACCCCACTAATGGGGAAGCTTTTATATGAAATGTGAACTTAAGCTGGGTCTTGTAACTGATAGGATTTGGGTAAGAAGAAAGGATAGAGAAGAACATTTCCCCCCATCTGTCCGTGTGTTTGTCCATCCATCCATCCATCCATCCATCCATCCATCCATCCAAAGAATATTTATTGCTATAGTCACTGGGAACACGGGCATTAAACAAAATTCTGTAAATATTATATACAATTGTGATAAATGCGATAGAGGAGAAGTATAGGATGCTCTGAGCAAGAGGCTTAACCTTAGCAGTGGAATCAGGGGCTTTCTCAGGGAAGTGGGTATTTAAGGTAAAGACATTATACAGATTTCATAGAGGTAAAAAAAAAAAGTGAAGAAATGGATTTGACTGCAACAGGGGTTCAAGATGTTTTTGATATGTATGCTTTTAAAATGTCCTCTAGGAGTTGGCTAAGGCATCACATTAGACTTAAGTTTCTTCCAAAGACGTAAGTTTGAGGGTAAACTTGAGAAACAAGAGCGGTAAGCATAAAATGTGAACCGAACAATCCTCGTTATTTCCGATTTTAGACTCATATACTGAGTGTGATTAGTTGTGTTTTTCATGTCAAGAGGGATCTAGTATGTCTTATGTTTAAATTTGACACTTCAGATTGGATGCCATGAAGAGGATAAATTGCCATACATGGCTCTGGACTTTATGTATTTGCTGCAGGATTTATGTCACCAGATGGCACCATTTAACTAAATTTATGTACTTTATGTTTAAGGCTGGTTGTTTTTCAGTGGAGGATGCTTTTATCTGTGCAGTTCCTGAAATAGGAAGAATTAATTTATTTTAATGGCGTTTGAGACCTCTATACAGAATAAAGTAATGAAGCACCAAACGTTTGTTGAGTGCAGGAAAG